TCTTCTTTGGCGCCGCTGCTTTTCATGGTACAAATTTCTTTTTTTTTAATTTTTACATGTTTTTATAAAAAAAATAGTTATTTTGCCCTTCTGTGTCGTTTGCTGCCTTTAGAAGCTGCAGATTTGTGTGTTTGTTGGTTGTGCTCTGGAGATGCATGTTTGTGAGTTACTTGGACATTAATATCTATTTTATAAGGTTCATGGGTAGTTAGTTCTTCCATTACATGGTTTTCAGATAATATTAATTCTGCTCATATTTGTGCTGCGTAGTGTTAAGGAGGTGCAGATTCATGTGCGTTTATTTGTTGTGTCTAGGAGCTTCATACTTGCGTGTTAAGTGGACACTTATAAAGGTTTTATGGTGATTTTATGTGTTTGTATGTTAAGTGGACACCTATAAAGGTTTTATGGTGATTTATGTGTTTATATCTTTCTCATGACTTCTTGAGTTGATTGTCACTGTTTTTCCCGTGCTTTTTTGGTTGTTGTGTTCTTGTGGTTTTGTTCTCTCTGTTGGCATCTGTGTGAAATGTTTGGTGGTTATTTTTCTTTCCTTTTTTGGCACCCAGTAGGGGGGATAGTTTTATCCTCAGTAGCTGTAGTTTAATTATCTCTTGTGGAGCATCTTCATTATGCAAGTTTTCCTGAATTCTTTTGACGTGCAGTTTTCACTGTGCTATGTATTTGGGGCTATATCTTTTGTACTCATTTTCTAGTTCTTCAGGTTTTCTGATGACTTATTTACAATTTTATGTTTGCTGATGTTCCCACCTGATGTTGCTATATCTTCAGTTGTCACTGTACTCATTTGGGGCTATATCTTCAGTTTTCACTGATGTTGCTCTCTTGCTCTCTTGTTCTGATTGGGTTTCGCCTGTGGATTAATACGGGGATGCAATGTCCCTAATGCTGTCTTGGATAGTAATATTTTTCCACCACATATTGAAAAACTGATTGTTGATGACCGTCAATTTTTTTGGGTTACTTGATGTTAGCTTCCTTCTGTTTAGGGTCCTAGGTCACTTTCATGGCTTGCAGTCAATGCTATCTAAATCTGTAATGACTATTTCTGCTATATTTGCATCCTACTGAATTAGGCATCAGCTTGTTTTATTTCTAGATCATCATGTTTAACCATTTCAAGTGTACCACATATTTGTTCTTTCGTATGACCGATTTGCGCTTTGTTGATTTGTTCCCATTTTGTTTTGGTGGTTAACATGATTCATCTCTCTTTTTGGTTATTTACTTTAGGTTGTATTACCACCAAGGAGCTTGGGACTGTGATGAGATCACTGGGACAAAATCCTACCGTGGCTGAGCTTTAGGATAAGTTACCAATTTTGGTGTTCTGCATTTCTTTAGCTGCAGTAAAATGGTGGCTGGTTCTTCTACCCAAAGCCAAACTGAAACCCAATTCCAAACCCAAATTTTCACTAACCAGGGACCAGACAATCCAGAGCTCCTATACTTGCAAGCTGACCATAGATCCGGTTCGGTCTTCAACGGTGAGGAAGATTTTATATACCTATACCATACGTGCCGGACTAATAGTAGTCGAATTTAGAGTGTGTTTCCCGTATCACATGAGAAGGTAAAGGGTTGTGTTCAGGAAGCCGGGTTTGGGACATTGTTGTTGAATGGGCATTTACAATTAGACAACCATCTTGTAAGTGCCCTGGTCGAAAGATGGCGATCTGAAACCCATACCTTCCATTTCCCATTCGGTGAAGCAACCATCACACTCCAAGATGTTGAAGTTTTATTGGGTTTAAATGTTGATGGACCCCCTATTACGGCGGACACTTCGGAGAAAAGAGACTGGCCTGCTTTGTGTCAAGAACTATTGGATTTTGTGCCCAAATTCAAAGGCAACTCCATTTACTTAACTTCCCTAGAAGCTAAGAGCTGATATTGAATTGGAAGGTGAACAACCTGTTTATGAGAAGAGGGCTCGGGTGTTTATAATGTGGGTTTTAGGTGGTATACTCTTTCCCAACTCAACTGGCAATACAATTTCTTTAAATTATTTGCCACTATTAAAGGATCTGAAGGGTTGTGCTAATCTTAGTTGGGGCGGTGCATGTCTGGCCCATCTTTACAATAATTTGTGTAAGGCATCAAAGAGGACAAGTTGGGATATAGGTGTTTGCCTTCGTCTTTTACAGGTTAAGTTCTTTTATCTTTTTTTTTTTCAGTCATTTATATAATTTCTTAAATTGCATTCTGAACTATATTTGGCATTATGTTTTATTTACAGCTATAGGCCTGGAAGCGTATCCCTTCGATTCGACCAAGGAGGAATACTGATGAAGACCTTTTCAAGGATCATTCGCTCGGTGCAAGGTGGTGTGTTGGTTTGAACCTCTCTGCAGTGCCAGCTCATACTATCACTGCCTATCGAGATCAATTTTCAGCTCTGAGGACGCCTAAGCACGTAAGATCTCGACCTTTTTTTTAAAGTAATGCTGGACTGATTTCTAAGTTTTTAAAATTCTGAACTTTTTTCCCTCAAATTTGGACTTCTTTTTAGGTTATTTTTTCTGGAATTCTATTTCTCAATTCTGGACAGTTGTAGGTTTTTAAACAATGTTGTACTGATTTCTAAGTTTTTAAAATTCTGGACTTTTTTCCTCGAATCTGGACTGTTTCTTTTTTTTTGGCTATGTTATATGCCTCTGCTGTGTTGGATGGAGGACTTGTTAAGTGCTAATGGGACGGTTGCACTTTTGGTCTGTTTTTCCCCCTGAATTTGGACTTTTTTTAAAAAAATTTCGAATCTAGACTGTTATTTGCAATTTCTTGACTGTTTTTTTGTTCAATCTGAACTTTTTATTTTTGTTTTCAAATCTGGACTGTTTTATGGATTTCTGGACTTTTGGCTAGTTCTTTTTTCCTTTCTTTTTTTGTTTTAGTTCACTTGGAGGCCCTTTGATAAGTACCTCCCTGCACTTCCTGCTGCTTGTACACGAGGTCAAAAATGTTGGCAGGCAAAAACTTGGTTGATTTGTTTTGATGTTATAGAACCACATCAACCTGATTGCCAACAAAACTGAATGGACCAAAACTCACCGTTATGGTATGACCTGGTATCATGACACTAATTGGGCAGATAAGAATAGTGAGTATATCGCCTCCTGGGATGACAAATTGCAATCTATTGAGGTTGGATTATCGGTCGATGTAACTATAGCCGTTGCAGATTATCTTCCTTGGTATCAAGCCAGGACCGTGAAGTTCAGTATCGATCCTACTAAGTACGACGAAAGGGTGGAAGGGTTTCTTGAACAATCAGATAGGGCCTAAATTTATGTAAGCCTTCCTAACTCTCTTCTTTATTCTAATTTTTTCAACTTGAATCTTTCTGTTTTTAATGGATCTATGTTATTTTATATTCTTTTTTCTAATTGTTAAATATCGTTATTTAATGAAAAAGTACAGGCAGATACTTTTTTTGACATCTCCAAGGAGGTCGAAAAACATCAAGCCTCCAACTGGTGTTCAAATGAGAAATGTGCTGAATTTTGCAACACAATCAATAGTTTTGCGGTGAATGCTCTCTCGGTTGTATCAACAGAGATGCCTACAGTGTATCCCAGCCAAGTGCTCCTTCAAACTCAACCTAAAAGAGCCCAACCAGTTGCTAAACATCGCAGAGCTAATGTCCCTAAGGCTGGAATTGGAGGAACAAGGAAAACACCACAAGATCCCATCGATGCAAGCATGTTTCAGACTCCCTCTCCCATAGAACAATCTGCCACGGAGCAAGATACCATGGAAGAAGTTGAGAATATAGATGTTGAGGTTGAGGTGAATTTAGAGCAAGGTAGTCTACCTTTAGCAAAGACAAAAAAGCAACGGACCCGAAAGCCTCCCAAAAGGTATACACCTTCTAAGTCTACGCCGCCACCATCGCCGACGGATTAGTTTGTTCCTAGGTTGTGACTCGTAGTTTTAAACTGATTTAGATGGATATTGACTATATTTTGCTTCTTTTGTACGATGTCGCTTATGGATATCAATTATCTCTCTTTTGTACGTTGTTGCTTAAGTGGAATTTTCCTCTTGTTTTATTCTATTTTTGGATCTGTTTTTTGGTGCTGCTTCTGGTACTTTACAGGCTGAGAAAAGAGAAATGTTATTTGTTTTTTTTTTACCAGTTTCGGTTAAAAACGGAAAACGGAATTCCGTTTTATATTTAAGGATTTTTTTTACTGAAATTTTTATACATAATAACCCAAAAATTAATAAAGGAATTTTTTGATTTTATTAATACGGAAAATGGTTTTCCGTGTTTCTGTTAAACCATCCGACAAAAACTAAGTACGCTTAATTACAGTAAAAACGGGTAATGAAAGTCCGTTTTTTGCACTGTAGTTCCCGAAAATGGAAATTCGTTTTCCGGTAAAGGTATTTCCCGACCACTTCCACCGATCTCTCTATTTCAGGAGACTAATTGTTTCAAACCATTATTTTGGTAAATGATTCCACATAGGATAGCAAATATAGTATCTCCGGTTCTACCAAATACATACAATATGTTTATTTGTTTAATATGCAAATGTTGTACTCCTTGGTGATCCAAACCACTTTGACACCAAAAAAGGAAGGGACCCTTCAAAAAAAAAAAAAAAAGGAAGGGAACCAACAAATAGATCCTCATCCTCCATAAACTGCAATCTGGGTTATACATATCAATGACAAAGTTTCATACCAAAACCAAAAAAGTTAAAAGAAAGACAGCTCTACTGGAAATGAGGGGCATGTATCCGTAGAAAGAAAAAGGGGGGAAAAGCATTAGAAGAAAACTTAATTGTTTCCAGTCGCTTCTCCGTCGCAAACCCATATTCAAACACCAAAACAATGACCGTATTATGTTGCACACATCCCTTGCCATTTGACGCCATGAATTGCTGCAGCTCCAAGTATACAGGGTAGTCGAATCCTTCCTTGCGATACATTGAAATAAAATATATTTATGTATTAGTTAAATCTCAACCTCATTTGGTCTGCTGCTGGGAGGCAGCAGGTGCACCACTACTGCTTCCTAATCCCATCTTATGCCCTAGTACTGCAAGCTGCTCCACAAACTCTCCTCCTGTTAGAATCTCTGTTGTCCCATAGATAACATGTCTTGTGGGCTGCTGGCGTCGAGCGAGCTCAAGCAAACTTCCATATTCCACGTAATTTCCACCACCAATCATAAACACGATAGCTTCCTTAAAGGGCCCTTTCAGATGGCTGCCGCCTGAAGTACTGGAGCTTGACTTGGGAGCACGGGGATCAAAAGTGAGATAGGATTCGATATCTGGATTAGGTTTTCCTTCCATCAATGCTTCCACTGTTCTGACCAAAGCCATTTGATGGTCGCTAGACAACAGATTCTTGACCCCAGCAGTAACAGCACTGATTGATTGTCCATAGAGTTTCTCAGCCCAATCAACGAGGTTACTCCTGCTAGCTGAATTTGCTGAAGTTAGTGCAACATTCAAAGACTTAATCTTTTTCACATACAGAAATGCACTGGTATCAACCTCAGATTCCCTCAATGCCGTCTCCACCATCTCAACTTCAGAAGGAGGCATGTTTTCGGTAGAAATAAGATATATGATAGCAAAACGCAGTTTGTCCATCTTTGATCCCTTGCCTTTCAGCACTCCAATAAGCTCATTCCGATCAATCCCTCCTCTAACCATCATTTCATTCTCCTTGTTTGCATACGAATCAAGACACCTCTCTTTAATCTCCCCCAGCAATGCAGTAGCTATATTAGTGTGCTTGTCAATAACATTTTTCCTTTCCGTCAGCTCTGGAAGAGAATTAACGGCATTCATTAAATGCTTCGTATTCCCTTCAAAATCCACCTCACCACTCCCTCCGGTCTTCCTATTGACCTCCTCAACATCTCTCTTATACTTATTCAGCTGATTCTCAATTTCAACAGCAACGTCGGGGAACTCCAACAATCCATTAGCCACCCAAAATGGATCCAACCTGTCCAGCTCGTACGACTTCATTCCGCCCTTCTCCCCCTGCACATTCAACTTATTCAACCTCAACCCTAAAACATCATGAACCAAAGGCCTATACCTAAAATCATGTTGTATGGCCACGGATAACTCAAAATTCCTGTCAAACAAACACAAGACCGGCCTCTGGATCTGACTGGTTAAATTCCCCCCTTCAGTAAACAAGTTATTCTTAGACAACAAGTGGTCCTGCAAACGCTGGTCGAGCCGTGACGCGACCAGTTCAGCAGGACCGCCGCGTGGACACCTAATAACCGGAACAACCGAGAGCGTGGCCAGAACACAGAACAAGCCACTAACTATTCCATCAATTATATCCTCAATATCTTTATCCCCGGCCGATGGATCATTCAACTGAACATAACAATTCTTATTGGCAAGCGAAAACAAATTATCCTCTAAAGTGATGAACTCCAAGTACTGATCGTGGACTTTAGAAATCCGGTGAATGGAGTCGGAATTGACCGTACCTGCGGCGAGATCTTCGAGCAAGGGGCGGGGAACGGAGGAGGAGAAGTTGAGGTGGAAAGAGTCGTAGAGGGACTTAGCGGCGTCCGAGATGATCCGCTGGATATTATTCGGAGTAGGCTGGAGGAAATACACAGCGGGGACGTCGACGACAGGCTTACGGTCCTTGTCGACGAGAAAGTACAGAGTGACGCCATGCTTACGTAGGTCCTTGACGTGGATTAACGGAGAAAGGATGTCTTGGCAGAAGCGATCGTAGATCAAGATCTTATACACCTCTTCGCTGCCGCCGCCGGCGCCGGCAGATACGGAACTCACCGGTTGGTTCAGATTCAGCATCCGAAGAATGCATTCTGCGTTTCCAGCATTTCAATTATTCAGCAAGAATCGATTTAAAAAAGGGGCGAAAATTGATTCCGGGGACGTAAATAAAGAAAGTTCTAATCTCACCGGTTTGCTTCAGACGGAGATTCAGCGCCATCACTCCGTTGATTAATCAGATAGATTTGGGGGAAGAAGAAAGAAAGCAGATTTGGATGGGAAAATTTTTGGATTTAAGATGTTCCTTCAGTCAGTCTGGACTCTCGAGGGGAGAAGCCAGTAACAGTAAAAATGGACGAGCGACGACGTCGTTATATGATAATCATGCAAGTGCAAAACAGAAACAAAAAAGTAGTAATAAATGGGGAAAATAGGGGCATTATCGAGTTTCGGGTATCCGTATATTTATTTACCTGATGACGTGTAAAAAACAAAATAAAAAATGTTTTTTTTTTTTTGGAAGAAAAAGAAAATTGAAAACATAATGCCAGGGGTAAGAAATCATCATTTGTTTTGGTTGACCCCCGAAATCAAATTTTGGAGCACTCATTTAGGGTTTTAGTCTATTCATCATCTTTACTATTTGCAGCATATTTTTTTCTGATGTTGTGAAAAAGAAAAACTACCAAAATAATATATATAGATACATCAAATAAAAATGCAGCGTCCATTGTCAAAAAGCATGGTGGGAAGCGGCGGCGGAAGGGGGCGGTGGCTGCGGAATAGGTATTGGATTCTCAGGCATGGCAAAAGCATTCCGAACGAGAAGGGCCTCATCGTTTCTTCTATGGTAATTGCTTTGCTGATAAGCTTTTTATTTCGCGGTGTCAATGAATCTCGTGATAGTGAAATGAATTTTGACATGGCAGAGTTAGTTGCTTTCTCTTCTTATTCTTCCTCTTTTTTTCTTTTTCTTTTTTTTTTCAAATAATAAAATCTTTTGTGCACAGGAAAACGGGATACTTGCTGAATATGAATTAGCTGCTCAAGGTGTTGATCAAGCCACATTGGCCGGACACTCCTTCAAACAGGCATTCGCGTTTTCTCTCTTAAAAATAGAGGGGGAAAAAAAAAACTCTAATTGGATTTTCTTCGAATGCTAGAATTCAACAGTGGTTATGGTTTGTTGTGACTCCTCATTTATTTGACGACTCTGTTTGTGTTATTTGCATTATCAATTTGTATACTCTGTAGTCAACCCTGTGTTTGTGTGTGTGTTTGATTGATTGATTGGTAAGTGCTGTGATTGTTCAAGATCCGGGAGATGATGGATCTTCATGTACCCCCAATCAATGATTTTACGGAAAATCTGCTCAAGTGAATCCCTAGTTTTCACCTATATCTGTTTTATGGAAGTATTTTCTCGGTGGAATTTGTTACTGATGCATTAGTGACTCGTATTTGATTATGATTTTGGATGATAGAATCTGAATGCTGGGATTGGATTATTTCTGGATAATGTGTCTTTAATACTGTATTGTTTGTAATTGTGCAGATCCTGTTGGAAACCAACACTCGGCTTGAAAATGTCCGGCTATGCTACTCTCCATTCTCAAGAACAACTCACACTGCCAAAATGGTTGCTTCGGTTCTAGATATTCCGTTTGAAGGACCACAGTGTAAGGTAGCGGATTTTGTTTACATACTCTTGTGTTTATGACTCAACTGAACTAAGGAATAGTTCCTTTGATTGTGGAGTTTGATTAGAGAGATCAACAGAATTGGATGTACTTGCCCGAGTAATATTGCTGTGTTGGAAGTGCATGTTTCGTGCACTGATCGAGCCAACCATATTATCATTGCTGAGCAATTAACTGACCTATAAATCATTCATTTTGTTTGGCAGGTTATGCCCGAACTTCGTGAACGATATTTTGGACCGTCATTTGAACTTAAATCGCACGACAAGGTAAATTTTTGTCTGCACTTCTGCAGCAGATTCTTTGCTATTTCTCTGTTACACAGATACAGAGAAGAATTAATGGTTTCTTATTTGAATATCATTTGTCCCTTGTCTCCCATTGTCAGTACACCGAGATTTGGGATCTGGATGTAAAGGATCCATTCCTGCCACCTGAAGGTGGAGAAAGTGTTGCTGATGTTGTTCATAGACTCACGAGGGCATTAGTGAGCATAGAGTCAGAATTTGAAGAGTAACATAATGCTCCTCTTAAGTTTTGTTATCCCTATTTCAGGGAAGTCTATTTCTACTAATGTATGTTTTGGTACTAATGGCAGATGTGTGGTTTTGATTGTAAGCCATGGCGATCCCCTTCAGATTCTGCAAACAATGCTGAAAGCAGCAGCAGCCATAGAACCAGCAGGTGAGAAAGAAGACCTGGTGTCGAGAATAGAGGCGATCACAGTCCCATCTATTCTTTCAAAACACAGGAATTATGCATTGCTCACTGGAGAGCTTCGATCTGCTGCATAATCAGGATGAAGTAGTGATATGTTCATTGTCAATTATTGTTGTCTGTGGTTCAATGTAAATTGGGATACACAGACAGCACATTAGAATAATACTATGATTAAACATTCGTGATGGATCTGCGCATTTATATGCAAGAAGAGTATCGTTAACTGGCAGCAACAAGTTAGAGTGGTTGCTTATTTGTCTTATTATTTAATAATTGCAGTTAATTTATATTCATGTGGTTGTAGAGAAAGAAACGATGTGTTTCTTCGTTGTTGAGATGAGAAAAAAAGGAAAGAACTAGTTGCCACTCTCCCTATAAATTATTGAGCGTATTTAGGTTTCACTTTTGAGTGGCACGAGAATTAAGAGCTAATCATTAGTAACTATAAAAGTTTCAATGAACTAATTACGTTTGCATTTGCATCCACAGCACACTAGGGTTCCAAACCTATCTCATGTGTTCATCTATGGTTCAATTATTTTGTTTGTTTGCTTTTTTTTTTTTTATGGTTTTTTCAGTTTATTTTATTTATAATTGTCTTATCCCAGCATACCTTTTTACATTTTCAATACACTTTTTTACATTCTCAATACAAAAAATACCTAAAAATACACACTAAAAAAACGAACCAAACATACATGTGTCAAGGCGGGTTGCGGGTGCATGGAAAATTATTTCACCGCATGACGTGGTCTTGCAAATTAAGACTGTAGATCTTACTCTGCAATCTCGTTTTCAATCAAATGCTATGACGTGTCTGATGGCCTTACAAGAGGCTAGTTCCCTAAGCCTCACTAGGGTCTAAGTACATGGATTGTGAAAATCTTATTTAGTGGCGGCTAAACTATAAAGCCACTAAAACATCCGCTTCAGACTCCCTTAGAGTTTAAGGTCCCAAATTCATAGTCTCTGTTATATTATTGATAATATATCTTTAAACAAAAATCTAAAGGCCACATAGATGTAAATAAATCAATAACTACTTATGCTTATTGTAATTTTTTTTCCAAAGTTTTAAAAGTAATTTTTCATTTTCAAACTAAAGTTATTGATTAAAAATTATTTAAGTATAAAATGATAAAGATTTGACTATTTATAAGTTTTTTTAAAAAAACCTCTATTAAAAATTGGATAAACTTATAAGGATACAACAACAACAACAACCCAGTATATTCCCAACTCGGTTGGGGTCTGAAAGTCAAGATGTACGCAGCCTTACCTATGTATATCAATACAGAGAGACTGTTTAAGTAGTACGATCCAAGATGCATTGGTGCATTTATGTATAGATTTTCAGAAACTTCACCAAATTAAGATGAGCCATTTTGATCTAATTCATTATTAGCACAAAGGTGAAAGAATTGTCAATGATGACTCTTCCAGCTCCATTTGCAATAGATATGGTAAACTTGTAAGGATATAGCAACAATATGCTTATCACACTATTACGGAAAAAAAAAATTCATAACCTTTTTTAAGATTAAGAGTAGCTTACTATTAATACTCAGTAGCTAAAACAAAATTGTTACAAGTTAATACTTCTGAAAGTTTAATTTAAATTTTATGCTAAGAGAAATTTAGAAAATATTGAGAGGCCCTAATTTGAAAAATGGTTTTAGGCCCCCTATATCTTTGACCCGCCCCTAACCTTACTTCTGACTTGCAGTCCCTCACACTATTGTCGGAAGTTTAAGACATAGTCACTTCCCTAATAACTATTATTTCTAGTTTTCAATCTTGTACATTGATTAAAGTGACAAGATGTATTAGAAATACATAATTTAGCATTCAATAGAATGCGATATAATAGTTTAGATACTTCTTCTTATTAATATACATGTACCTCTTAAAAAAAAAAATACATAACAAGTGGTTGTGTTCATTGGGATACCATTATAAAAAGGGATAAGGACAGACACCCCTGAGTTTTGTCCCAAAAACTAATACCCCTTTGAGATTTTGTGTAGGACAAACACCCCCCTGAATTTTGTTTCAAAGACTAATACCCCGAGAGATTCTGTAAAAACCTTGACCGTTGGGTCAAAGACAATTCAACCTTTTGACTATGAGAATATGGTGAAATTTAATGACATAAGTAAGAAAATAATGTTAAAAGACCAAAATGTAATTCATCCCTTTCTTTTTCTTCTTCTTATTTGGATTGTGTAACTGTCGTATTCCGCAATTTTTGCCACTCAAATTGTCTGGGTTTTAGCCACCCTATCTTGAATAGAAAGTAGTTAATTGACCTCATTTTCATTCTGGTGAATTTATATATGACTTTCATGAGTTGATTTATTCTATTTCAAGCCGAATTGATTTTCTTCATAATTGTACTTTAGATTTTTCATCGCGTAGTCGCCTTCGTCAATCGGACACCGAGAAATCTCAAACCAGGAGCCAAATTGATGCGATTTCTATTCCGTTACACTTCCTAGAATTATCCTTCCATTTAATTTGGGATTTTTTTGATTTTCATACAAAAACAAGAGTATATGTTTACCATTTACAAGAATTTTGTGTTACTTCCAGTTAGAGTAACACAGTTCATTATCATCTTTCATTTGTTTCTTGTCAAAATTTTGTGTTACTTTGATCTTCGCAAACATGTCAAGAACGTCAAAATCCGAATTGGAAACATCGAGTTATGGCTTGCCAAACGAGACTGATTTTCGATGATTTTTGAGGACTTGATCATAACACCATGGTTTTTCTGTCTTTTCACAAATCTAGACTTTTGTCCTTACACATCTCAGAGGTATTATTTTGGGGACAAAATTCCCAGAGGTATTTGTCCTTATACAAAACCTCAGGAGTATTATTCTTTGGGACAAAACTCAGGGTATTATATAAAACCCCGTTTGTCTTCATCCTTTATAAAAACAAGGGTAGTTTAGGTAAATTGAGAAAAGTTATGCTTTGGGATACAAAATGGACTTATATTTTGACAATAATTTTACGATAGGGGGAGTAATAATTTTTTTGACACGTCAAATATGATCTTGCTTTAAAAAGTATTATAGCAAAAATCTAAATTATTGTATTGGTTTTACTATAATTTCAAAATGGCTATTGATTCTGCCAGAACACTTTTAACATCCATGGCAAAAATAAATTCTCTACCCTTGTATTTTTTTATTTTTTTTTGAGAAGAAAACATACTTTTATTAATTTGTTGGAAATCGTCCAACTACATTTGACATTACAAAGAAACAAACTAAAACACAACTCACAACTTCTATTACATCCTCTATTACAATCACGCTGTTGTATTTGATAAATCTATACAGATCTATCTTAGTCGACGCTAGACATATCACGTATCGGATTGTAGATCCGGTTAAGGATATATTACTAATTATCAAATGAAAGCCTCATTTTATGAATCTAATAAATAGATTTATATTGACTGAATCTTCTCGACCGATGCAAAGCAAACCCGCGAACATCACCAACGAAGTCACGAATCTTACCATCAACAAATAAACCCTACCCTCAACCAGTAGATTGTGACCAATTCACCGGAGGAACTATAACGAAAAGAACCTTACCTTCTCAATAGACTATAATTTATTGAAGGAACAAAATTTCAATGAAAAAGAGAGAAATAATCCCGTTTATTAAACGATAAAACTAAAATTGTGCTTATAAAACTAGAATAAAATTATTTCCCCCGATCCTCCAACGGTGAGAAGACGGGGGAAGATTGTTTTTTTTTTTTTTTGAGATGGGTTGAGAGAGGGAGAGAGGAGAGAGAGGAGGCGGTTAGGGTTTTTTTTTTTTTTTTTTTTTTTTTTTGCTTCTCTACCCTTTGTATAGTCAAAAGCATGTCCCTCTCTCTTGTCTAATTTGCTTGTTTTTCTCACCCCAAAAGCACGTCTTCAATCTAATTTGCTTGTTTTTCTCACCCCAATTAAACATCTTCATTCATTCATAATCTCTCTACTTTGTGAATTTCGTGGGATTAAAAGATTTCTCCATATTGCTCAAAATCGTAATATGTCAAATTTATTGCCCTTGAATATCTAACTTTTCCGAGCTACAATTTTACACACGAAAAATTAACAGCACGGCAGCTAAGTCATTTTTTTTTCTGGGTATACTATTCTTGCGTACAATTTTCCATTATCCATATATATATATATACATATATATATATATATATATATATATATTCTCTGATTTAGGATTTTGATACTGAAAATTAGAACACAAAACAACCTTACTCTTTCTTAGCCCAAAACAATGACTTGTTGATTCCTTCCTTTGGAGCTGAATTGTAATATAGAGTTTGATGGGGCAATTGAATTAATTTCTAGATGTAGTGTAATGGCAATTGCAATACTCTTGCAATATTACTTTCCAAGAAAATTTTCCTTTATCAGGGTATGGAATCGTCTTTTTTCGTAATACAAGGTGATAAGGTCTTCCTAAACCTGACAACTCTCACGAACAGAGGAAATTAAGAAACTAATGTAAATTGTACAAAATTTTAATAACCAAAGTTGGAGTGATGTGTCTCCAATCGGGCCTAAAAGGCAACACGTACTGCGGATTAGTGGGGTCGTTAGTGTTAAATTTTGAGAGAATTATGAAACCTTCCACTCCTAGAAAATAGAGGAAGGTCGAAAACTTTGACCTCTCAAAGGGTAACTTTGGAAAAAGATATTATTTTTGTTTTAGATGGTAGAAATTATTTTGGCAAAATCACATGCCATTCAAAGTTTAAGGTTTATTAGTTTTTATTATACCTATATTATAATTGCAGAATAACTTTTAAGTTTGGTAGTCCCCCACTTTAACTACCACATACCATTTAAATAAATTTTTGTTATTTTAACCATTTCACCTCCTTCATTTATCTCTACTATAATTACCACACTATTTAAATTTAATTTTATTATCACAACCCCATTATCTCCTTCATTACATCGTTTGATCTGGTGACTACTGTTACACCCAGTTTGGTTTCTCGTTAAAGTCTACCTTCTCTACTTCTCATTTTTTATAGTCTTCCATTATTAAATTTCTCTTTTATTTTTTATTTTTAAGATTAACAAAAAATTATTGTTTATTATTAGATGAATTCGAACAGTCAAATAACCGATTTTGATAATTCTAATTACTCCAAACTTTTCAATGTCTTTTAATTTTCTTCTCTTCTCTAAATTAAATATTCTTGTTTTATGAGAATTTAAAGAAAAGTTGTATAACTTAAGAGAATAGTAAAAAATTTGCATATTGAATTCACAAATATATAATTCTCAATTGCATAAGTTTTGTCACTTCTCTTTGCTTGAATTTTTTTCTTCAAAGCATTTGTCTCAACCCTCCTCAATTTCTCTCTCCATCACAAATTTCTTGAGGTGCCTACCTAAATTATCATGTTCTTCTCATTGTTTTTATTTTCATCTTTGATATTTCATGTATTAGTTGTTGTTTTTCTTTTTTGATTATAATACAATGTGTCATTTCTGTTGAAATTCGGAAATTATCATTTTAGTTTACATATATAGTTTCGCACGTAGTAAATTTAGTAAATTAAAATGTATTATTGATATTTTTTCAATACAATGTAACAATAAACAAAATAATTCGTAATTTTTTATCAATTAAATTTCACTTTCAAAATGCCATCATAGTTTTCGTACGCGCTAAGCGCATCGAACCCATCTAGTTTACTATAAATTTCAAAATTTTATGTTATAGATTTTTTTTAAAAAAAAAAAAAAAACAGAGGGAGTATATACTAAAAAAAACTCAGTTAATTATTTTCCTCTTCGTCAATTATTTCCAGTTATTCTTATTTCTTCGTTCGTATTGTGTCTTTCTTGTCGTGCTGCTTAAGACTTAATAGAGAAGGCTAGCAGAGCCGAAACACCGTCGAACCTGGCTGCAGCCAGAGTCCGCTGGAGGCGCCAACACTGATAAGTGGCGGAGTTCACCTTGGGGGAATGGAAATTCAAAACAGGAGCGTTCCGATTCTTCGGGAGTGGTTCGACCACGTCGATTCCGAGAATAAGGGCAACATCACCGCTTCTCAGCTCCAGGTTCCATTTTGTATATTTATCAAATTATACTCAGATTTTAGTAGTAATTGATTGGCCTTGGCGTGTTTCTGAATCATTCCCATCGTATGATCAGGGTGCTTTTGCTGTCGGAAACCTTCGATTTCCTCTCTCCGTTGTCCAGCAAATGATCAGGTCGGACGCCACTCATTCATCCAACACTTCGGAGTGAAAAATTAAATGAATTTTCTAGTATTTCATAATATCTGAACTCGAATTTTCCTTTTGTACCTTAAACTTTGACTTTGAATGAGGTTTCTGATTACTCAAGTTTAAAATTGAACGCTTTTTGTTAGATTTTGATCGAGTGAGCGTTGTAGTTCATTTGATTATTGAAGATGAGGTAGCACTCAACATTTTGAATGCCTCTCGTCATAATCGAATGAACATTAATTAATTTTTGATTTTCTATTGCCAGGATGTACGATTTTGACAGGAATGGAACTATGAATTTCCAAGGTCAGTGTCTCCCTCGCGTTCCTTGTTTATGTTTAGAAAGTTCAAATATCTCATTGATTATTCATGTTTTACTTGGCTTTCTCTGTATTCGATCATTCAGAATTTGTTGAACTCAACAAATTTCTTTTGAAGGTCAGTATCAATACTTTGTTTTATTTTAACGCGTCTTTCTTCTTACCTTCTGTTTGTTTAACCCCTATTCTTTCTTTTGTTCCTTTTTTTTATTATCACTATTCCTAGGTTCAACAAGCCTTTGCTGATTTGGAGAGGTGATCTTCGTCTGAATTTTCCTTCTAGTTTTTGTCTTTCCTGCTTTCATTTATCAATTGCTCAGCTGTTTGGGTAATTTGAATTTGAGTTCCATTGAAATTGGAAATTCTTTTACTTGATTTGGTTGAACATGTCTGATTGGAAATGAGTACTGTAAGAATATCTAGAGATTCATTCTAAGTTGTACAGATCGTGTACTTTGAGATGGACCGAATGCACCTCTAAAACTTCATGTTTTGTTTTGTTCTTTTGGTGCCATTTTACCTTTTTTGTTATCATTATAGTCGTGCCTACCTGATATGCAGCATATCGTCTGAACACCTTACTTTTATTATGCAAGAATGCACCTGAGATGATATGGTGCTGATATGAAGTAGTTGTGTAAACTTTGCCTTTACCGGTTCCTTATTATTACCAGTATACCGTCCAGGTTACGCCAGTAGTTTCTCGTTCATTAAAACTGTTCTTGTTAATTATGCTGTTTTGTTCTGGGATCGACTATTGGCTAGAGTGGCCGTATTACGCGACATGGAATGTTTCCGCTTGTGACTTAATATTAGTTGCCGCTCTTGGTTTTTCCTTTTTCCTTTTCCTTTTTAATCAAAAAAAAAAAAAGAGAAAGAAAAAACTGATTCTGCACCATTTGATTTTCGGACTGTAGTTTCTTGATGCAAACTGACTGGCTCTTGCAAATATCATGCTGAGTTGCACGCAGTTTAGTTGCTGATTAAGACTTTAAATTTGCGAATGGGATCTTCATGCATGTTAATTTGATGCATTTATATATACATGCTCTTAAAAGTTTATGATATTGATGGAGTACTTTCAGGGGCCTTGGATATCTTGTTTCAGACGATGTATACAAGGTAACTGGTTGTAGCTAAGCTTCATTTATTTTTCTTTTATCGGAAAAACGGTTCATTTTTTGGGTGTCCTGTTACATTGATTGTTTATCATAAAATGGCTTTCAGGGATTGGTCAAAATTGGAATGTCCCTAGACTCTCCCGCATTTTATACTGTCTGTGAGGTATGCAGACAATGTTTTCTGATTCCTTGCCTTGATTGAAGTTTATGAGGATGTATTCATGCAAGAAGCATAATAAGCTAACTAATTACATTTGTCAACTTTGCCTGATTATATTTAATGTACTTCCAAGGGTGGTATTTCTCAGAACCCTTTCTGTTATCCTAGTATTGAGTATTTTGGATCACAACAATACTAAGCTGACATATTGTGAAGGGCGTTTTATAAACAGGGTGTGCATGATTCATTTTCTGAAAAAAAAAACACTTTATTGGGCTTTTGCAGAGTTTTGATCAAAAGAAAAGTGGAAGATTCAGACTAGATGATTTCATATCACTTTGTATATTTGTACAGTCTGCAAGGTGAGTAAATATTCAAATCATTTTGGTACATTTGGTTTCTTTAGTAGGTAACTTAGCATCATTACTAAACTGAAAACATATTTTGCTTTGTAGATAAGAGCTTCTGGTTTCATTATGTCGTGCAGCCTTATTTAATCAGGATACTAATCTGAGTTACCTTTTTGTACTTGATCAGGTCACCATTATGATATTGTTTTATTTTTGACAATTATCTATGTCTCCATAATCCAATTTAAACTACATATATGCATTTTTGGGGTACTACTCCAAACTGCATTTTTTACTGTAAATTGCTTGGGTTTCCTAAAGACATTATCAACTCAGACATGAGTTTTAGGTCCATCTTCTTCTATTCACCACACTGTTTCTGCAAATTTTCATTCTCTTTCTTGTGGCTGTCTTTCACATCAGAGTTTTCCCAAATTATATTAGGAAAACCTTGTAACCTGAGTCATATACATGCAGGAACCTGTTTAATTCATTTGATAGTGGCAATCAGGGTAGGGTGACTCTTGATCTGAATCAGTTCATTTACTGCAGTGAGTATATCACATTGACCTATAAACTCTCAATGTTCTTTTCCTAGCGTATATATTATATGCCACAATTCATAAAGCTTTTGCTCATTTGCAGCGTTTATGTCTCCTTTGCAGCTGCCAATTGCAGGATATGACATGGACAGTCAGAATATTCATTGAGGCATGGCTACTTGAAGAAGGTGCACATCTTGCAAGGATTTTTCAGACTCATGACTGCGACTTGGTTCCCATCTACATAGATACATTCCCTCCTCCCTTTTCTATTATCAAAAATCTGTCAGAATCTATTGATTCATTGTTCTTTAGATAGTAGAGTATCAAGACTTAATATTACATTTACTTTGAGTGAAGTAGTACAACTCTTGTGATACTATCTGTACGTTGTAAATTTGACTATTTGTGCACGGAATTGCTCTGTAAAAAAAGTTGAAATATCTATAAAAAGTTCCTCTTCACACAATCTCGTTTTTTTTTTTTTTTGGTCTTCTTTAACTCTTCAGCCATGCCTTGTTAATCAAAAGGATGGAACAAGGAGACTCCTTTACAGCTGCTACACTCTTTCTTTTTTCTTTTTTTTTTTACCCGAAGGCCATAGCAGATCTTCATCAAGGTAACTTAGCCTATTGCTGTTGCTTAGAGATTTATGGACAAATGGTCAGCGGAACAATTCACTTCCAAGTTTCGATATAAGTGGGCGAACACAAAAAGTGTTGCCTTCAACGGCATTTGTTTTTCCTCTGCAGGTTCTCATGTGATCTTACACGTGTGATGACTCATGAAGGTACTAATAATCACCACCGTCTTTTCACTATGGTAGAGCAATGAGTCTTCCATCTGTTCCCCTTCAAGATCCTGCAACACAAAATTCGTGTCAGGTACATAACATATCCCACTTAATTTTAACCTCTGGAGTATCTGTTTTAGCTCCCATTGAACTTTTGATATTTGAGGGTGGGGGTTGTCTCCCATCATGAAAGCATGGATTTATTTATTCCTTTCAATCCAACTACATCCAGTCCTCACCACGGTTCGCACTTCAGTTATTTCATCCAATTTCTGAGGGCTTGCATAAATATTAGACGACAAAATATAAGTTCCCGGTTCATTAGGATCATGTTTTATTACTTGTTGCCGCATAGGCTGCAACATCATGTTGTAAAAGCCCTCAGCAACGATCTCCTCATGTCATGGCGGCATCTGGCGCCGAGGGCATGGACTGAATCAGTTTTATAGTTTCATCAAGCTTCCCAGCTCTTCCTAGGAGATCAACCACATAACCATAGTGCTCTTTTACAGGTTCAATCCGGGGAAGTCCCTTGATCGAATGGAAGTAATGCTGCCGAACATCTTCCAATCCAGCATGGCTACAAGCACCAAAAAAAAAAACCCTAATCAAAATAATTGCAAGTCTCGAAAATGTATCTGACCTTTAATCAAAATATTGACCGTTACACAGTTTTGGCTGAAAAAAAATAGTTGCGTCTAATAAAAATGTCGCAGACTACAATGGTCCATTCACTCATCATCCCAAGTCCCATCCACTCGTCAATACTCTTTTTCGGGGGAAAAAAAAAATAAAATCAATTTTTTCATATTATTTTAATTCAATAAAATGAATTATTCATTAATACTCTTTTTTTCAAAATGATTGATTTTTTTCAATCCATTTTATTATTATCTTTTTAGAAGAAAAAGTAAAATATACCAAAAATGGCCCTATATATCGACGTGGTCCTGGCAAAATCTGAGGCCTTATGTGGTGGGCTAATCACAGCCTAGAGGCCCGACTCACAAAAAGGGGTAATTTTACCGGGGGTTTTATCAATTGGGTTCCTTGGTGGTAAGTTCAAACTCAATAAAATTTGCTCATTAATCCTTCGTCCTCAGTTATCTTTTTTGTTCTCACGCGCAACCATGTCTTTTCTCACGCGCAACCACGACCACGGCGAGCTTTCCAAATCATCCATAGGTTCGTAATCACTGCCAGAAAATGTTTTTTTTTCCTCTGAATAATTCTTCCCGCCCCGTTTTAGTAATTGTTCTACAATTGAATATACGATCCTATCATTTTGCTTCTTTCGACAATTTTCTCCTTGTAAATCACTCGTAATTCGGGTTCAATTTCATATGAAATCAATATTTCTCTCTGTTTCTCTGATCACATTCTGTTGTATTTGTGGCTGGAATTATTCTTCCTCTGCTTGTCGTATGAGTTTCTCAGATCACTGTTGTGTTGAATACTGCTGATGATCTTCTTTGCTCAACTCCATACTTTCTTCCTTTTTTTGTTCTTTTCTTCCAAAACTTGGTATGGCACTAATTGTTGATCGTGATCGGGGTAGGGAGTTAGGGTTGCAAGATGGAGAAGTGGACTTTTGTTGGAAGTTGGAACCGAGCGTTACTCTTACAGTTATCCTCCGTCCAAATGCAATGGCGTTTATATTGAGCGTCATCTAAGTTCAGCTTCTATTTGTTGTAAATTGTGATGGTGTCCCACTCTCTGCTCAATCTTTCCTTTATAATACTCACCGCGCCAAAGTTGCATCTTCACCTCACTTCCTGATCAGCATTCTTCATTTTTATTACCAAATGTGATGTATCCAATGACTCATGCTGGAAATTCCACCCATCATCTTGTTTATGTCCGAAGAAAACTGGAATCAGAACAATTACCAGGTACTAGTGCCTCCGTTCCTCCTTGTGGCACTGACAGTGATGACAGCCCCCCACCCTGTTCTATCATTGAGCCCACTCAGAAGGAGGTGGAAGTGGATGTGAAGGTTCCTTCTCAAGCTTCGCCAAATTCTGATTCGCATCCATTAGAAAAGAACAGTAAATCTCCAGCTAATGCTCATGTTAACTGTATCGTCACGAGTTCCGCCATGTTGGACCCTCATAAGCATTGTTGGGAAGGGCGGATTTTCCAATTGAACTACTTATTGAACAAACTGGACGGTTCAGATCAAAAGGATTATATTGAGAGTATGTCATTGCTCTTCAATTTACATCAACTTGTTCATCTCATTAACATGATGGACTGGTAATTTTTTGCTCATTATATTTGTTTTGCAGTGCTTAGGTCTCTTTCATCTGTTGAACTTAGTAAACATGCTGTTGAACTAGAAAAGAGGTCGATTCAGCTTTCTCTGGACGAAGGTATTTTTCCAGTGGCATTTGTTTTTATGTTTCACTTTCAACTCTAATTTTGTATCTTACTCTCCTTGACACAAGTCACCAGCATGATTTGTGTAATGAGATCAACCTGCGAAATTATTTCTTTTGGTTTCGTGAATGATGATTAATGATGGGTTATGCTGCACTTGGAAGAATTAGCTTCTGGAAACTAACTATGAACATTACGTACGCATTGGCTAAGTAGTATTAACTCAGTTGCAACTCTGCTTTGGCTGATTTTTATTTATTGCCATGTTGATGCCGGATCTTTAGCTTCTTATTTATTGGTTACTTCAAACTAGTTGTTATGTGAACCTCCAAAGTGTTGAGCTTATACTGTCTTTTTTCTAGCAACCAGTTGAAAATCCATGAGAGTCAATTATTTTTTGTTTGGTTATACTGTTTAGCAGTCTTCTGTTGTCCCTGGAGGTAATGAGAGTCTGTCATCTAGGCCTCTTTGCCAGATCTAAGATAACGTTGTTGCTGAGAACCTAGTATCTGTTTAGGCCACTATTCATCTTACTTTGTTTTCTATCCCTAATAGCAGACCTAACTAAATTTGTAAAACTCTTCAAGTTCTTGTGTTTTGCGCAATATATTATAAGCACAAATGCCTGAAATGAGCAAAATTTGGTGAGCTTATGGGTTCAGCCTAATAAGACGCTGGTTTAAAACCTTCAATATCCGTCGATGTCTATCCCTTACTATCCCTTACTAATGCACTCATCATCTTGTCAAAGAATAGTTGGTAGAGCTCTTCAGCTCAATTTGGGCATTGGGCATTGTTTGTGACAGTTTTCTCATCTTCTGGATTCAGGTAAAGAGATCCAAAGAATTCAAGTCCTGGATGTGTTGGAGAGGTACTCAAAGCCCTCTATAGCATCCTCATCAAGTGATCGAGCTCTTTCAGAACTGAGATGAAGGTGGACAAAGCCAGTGACATGGTATACATTCAGGTAAATCCATCTAATTTTCATAGGAAACTCCGTAATGTTTAATAATTATAAGTAGAAAAGAAGTGTAGTCACTCATTGTAATGTTGGACCAGTGCCAGGACATTCAGCTCCTCTGATTTCTTTCCAATGCCCTGATTTCAGTGAATTTGATTGAACAAGTGTAGAGGGGAATAAGTATCAAGCCCTTCTGTATAATAGGCATATTGTTATCCTCCTGATTGAGGGGAGGGCAACCTTGATGATGTTGAAGGCACCTTAGGGAGATGTTAACATTGCAACATTAATGTAACTGTTATTACTGTAAAGGCTAACAGCTTTGTAATGTAAAGGCTAACAGCTTTGTAATGTAAAGTTGTTCTCATGAGTTGGATTACAAGAATTATACATGCGTGGCACTAAAAGTACATACATTTTGTTCATAACGGGATTACATCCCAGGCAAAGTAAGATACAAAATATCACAATGCATATAAAGCATCCCACAATTACCCCCATTAGCCGTTCGAGCTTGGACAACTCTCTAGATCATCTCAAAGCTCAAAACCCTACGGGATCAGCTTATCATACCACTCTATATAACTCTATATTCAAGATCCTTGACTCAGACACATGTACAGGTGAAAAAACGGAATGTCTTCAAACAGCAGCCTACTATGTACATCGACCCGACCTTAAAGAAGAAAAGCACTCTTCTCTAAAAGTCATCCCCGCGATAATGAAGAATATGAATGTAATCCTGTACTATCGGATGTAAGTGGAATTGGAAGAGGAAGTGGGTGGTGTTCAGAATGGACTGAGGATAAGATCTTCTCTTGCCCTGGAGCAACAACTAACGTGGGCTCGGGCATGGCCTCTAGCTCAGGCTTGGGTTTGTAGGTAAACGAAAGGTCTTTGTTGGCGGCAAGGGCAAGTAATTCCTTCTCCTCAAGGCCTTTAGTTGGGCCAAGGCTACAGAAATCACCACCGTACTTTGCCAATGCATCTTTGAATTTCTTAATCTGTCAATATCCGGAAAATGTAGCAGTTTAGATAACAAGCAGAATCATCGTCAACAGGCAACCACAGTTTATGTCAAGAGAAAGCTAAAAAGAAAACATCAAATAAATGCACAATCACAACACACATATGGCTACCTACATTCTCAAGGAAAAAGATTTTTCCCTTAAATAGTTGCTTGAACTGATGCAATGAATGGGTGAATAACTTGGGGTAAAGATAAAGAAGATACAGAAATAAGCAAACAAATACCGGGTGATATGTTAAGGGATGCAGATTGTTTAAGTTTACATGTATGCAGGGAAGGAAAAGAAACAAAAAGCTCAGAACGAACCGTAGCGTTAGTGCAGCTAAAGCTGCAAAGACGTCCATGAGCGCCTCTGTAGAAACGGAAGAAGGGAAGGACATGAACATTGAGAGAGTAACACATAGACTTGTGTGTCTCGTAATTCACCTGAAGGAACAGCACATCCGGGTTCTGACCCGCCAACTGGCATATCTGCCGCATATCCACAAGAAGCGTAAAAGACAGATAAGTGCATTTAACTTTTAAATTAACACTGATAAACCACGAATGAGGATGACCTCGGTAAAAGTATAAGTTCTCTAATCAACAAGTAATCATGAATTTTAAGAATAAATGATCAAACCAACTGTTGTCACTACAGGAATACTGAATGCGGGATACCAAGAAAAAAAAAAAGGAAAAAAAAAAACAGATCCGACTCTTTTATGGAACAAATTGTACGTTAATAGGGATAAAACAAACAGACCTTGGGATGAAGAGCTTTGCAACCACCACAACCAGGGGAAAAGAAATCAACAACAACAAGCTTATCCCCAGCGTTCAAAAGGGAATCCACGAGATCCTGGGCACCCAAAACCTCCTTCATGTTAGGTTGAAGACCTTTCTCCCACCATTTTTGACCTTTCCCAATTCCAATAATTCCAGTCTTCATCTGAAATGCAAACAATAACATTCCATAACAATTAACTTACCGAAATCAGAAACATGGTATAATCTACTGTAACTCAAATCACAACCACTCTCTTCATCTCCTAATAGTCCACCTCAACGAAGAGACAAATTCCAAAACCCAAGAATAGTCGTTCAGATCAAAATTCACCCAATTTGCATCCCCCACACACACACACAGACAGAAAAGAAAGAACAAAAAAGATAGATGCAATAATTAATGCATCAAATTTACAAAGATAATAAAAAGATCAAGGAGAAAGGGAAAAGTGGCCGACCTGGGCAGAAATGGAAAAGGAAGAAGACGACCTTGATTGATTGGAGCAGCGCTTGGCCCATTTCCCACCGGAAAAGGAATAACTAAAGCTGTTTGAGGATGATTGAGCTGGCGCCAATCGGAGAGTCAAGCTCCGGTATGTCACCGGAGATGGTTTCTTGCGGAAAAGAAAAAAGCCCACCTGGCGGCGACGATGAAGATGATCGGATGAAGTATTCCCGAAAGATTTGGAGGGAAAAACATTGGCACTTCTCACCAAGGCCTCTGCCATGGTACTCCTTAGACTGGAGGGAAAAACAAAAAAAATGAGAAAAGAGAAAAGAAACTGAAGAAAATTTCTGGAAATTTGGTAAAGGATGCAAAACTAGGGAGAAATGAATTACGCAAAGAAAAGTCTTTTTGAGTGGATAAAATGGAGTTGGGCGGTGGGTTGGATTTATTTAATATTTGGATAATTTGGATATTTCATCGTTTTGTTGTTACGCGTGGCGGCCATCCATAGTTTTAGTCCCGCTGGCATTGTGTGATACATTTTTCGCACTGGAAAATAGTGTGACATGCTACGAGGTAAAATCCGAAGGCCACGATGGTATGGGTTCGATTCCCAGTTTCCCACCAACTGTCTTTTAACTTTCAAGTCCATTTCCAACCCAAAATTTTAAAAATACTATACGCATTTTAAACGAGGTATATTTTTTTTTGCCCTTTATCATTTTATTATAATTTCTTTACTATATGCATTTTTTAAATAACAAATATTAAGTAGTAATAAAAGTGTATATTATTTAATGTATCAAATAACACATGTAAACTATTACAATATATCAAAATTTTTGTTGATAATTAAAATTTTGAAAGGCACTCAAAACACTGATCAAATATAAAATTAATACTAATAAAATTATTCTACATCATGTGAAACTGTAATACTAATAATTCCAATTATTTTATGTAATTTATTATTAGTTTTATAGATATTGAAAAAAAAATTGAAAAAGGCCAAACGGCAGAACTAAAGAAAGGAGAAGGAAAGAAAATTAATCTGGAAAAAAATAGACAGAGCCAAAGAAAAAGAAAAGGAAAGAAAATGAGTAGAACCTCAGATTAAAAAAATAGAAAAGGCGTGATAGTGGTTTGACTCCGTGTGAATAGCAGTATTTGAAATTACACGAGAGTGGTAATCAAATAGACAACACAAGCAACACTGAAGAATAAAGATGAAAGATTTATGAACTTTATTGTTAGAAACTTGAATCTAACAATAATGGAGGAATTACAAGATTTGGATGTGTTCTAATCGTGTTAGACACTATCCTTAAGACAATATTTGCCCCCTTCATGTTGCAATATCGGGTTGTTTGGCAATTTGCCTCTAGGACATAAAGAATACAAGAACATGCAACTTCTAATTATTGAATGTTCTCAAGAATTTAGGAATGCAAAAGTTGCTTAGAAATCCTGCACCAGTTCACCTCTTTATATGTAATACTTGCAGAATTAAAAGGATACAAAACTAAGTACACAACTCTTGGCTTGTAAGAAATAACTACCATGCAAGTGAAGGGTTGCCAACTTAATTATTATCCTTAAATTCTAAAATAATTATTTTATTTTACAAACTAAAAATTTCTAACATTTCCCCACTTAGTTTGTAATATAAAATAATTATACAATCATGAGAATCGCACTTAAGAGGTGATAACGTTCGTCTTAAACCACATCGTAGTGAAATTAAGTCACCTAACTAGCTAAGTTATTGGTGGCTCGTTGCTTAAACCAATAATCAGTTTAGTATAGACTTAATAATGCACGCACAAACACCCATAGCATTCCTTATATTTCACATTATAATTTAGCACTATTACTGGCCATGTGCTCGTCCTAGATTCTTGATCATATACAAAAGATAATCTCAAACTTTTGCTAGAAGCGGCACCACCTCTATGATCAAATAGGTGGAAGTTATTCCAGCTTCTTACTTTACCGTAATTAAACACTCAGGAATAATTTCATTAAGAGATTTCTCTCAACCTGCTCACTTAAGAGTAACATATATAATGCACTAATACTTGGAATGGTATACACGAATTTTGGTGCTCACAACCACAAAACAACTTGTTGTTACCCTTTAAACCTTGCAATCTAAGGGTAGTACTAGAAGAAAGTTGGGTTTCCATTGTTCATGATTTTAATATTGAGATTTTACTCCTATTCCTCATGTTGTCAAAAAACACCAATTCTCTCGCAAGAGATTTGGTACATGGATTCATAACAAAATTGTGTTTTCACAAACACAACACCGACAACATCAACATTTGTATCTCACTAAGAGATACATATCTTTAATTAATATGTCTATATTTACCCATTCTCAAATTTTACATAATATTCAAGATATATTAATCTAACTATCATAACACAAGGTTACAGGCGACACAGGCCAGGACCCTTTGGCCACTTCACCTCCTTATGTACTGAAGATAATTCAACAAATTCAGCTTTCTTTCTTGGAGAGAGTGATTATTATCTGTTTCACTTATCAAGAAACATCTCTCACTACCAAGCATGAAATTCTAACCACTAACGGGTTATGATCACTAATGCTAGAATACCAACTAGCATTCGAATAACCTTTAAGAACAACATAAATCTAATATGTTTTAATAAATCATAAACCTTAGTCTTTCAAAGACACATTATAATTTTAGCATTAGATTTGCAATGGTCCTACTTAGGTACTTAGTGTAATCAGTGAGTCACATACCCATAAAATGTGTTAACACAACTCTAATGCATATATACAAGATATCCAACGTCACTAGAAGATTCTAGTTTAGTAATTGGATCGTCATATTTAACACAAATGTTAAATATAAAGTCATGAGAGTACAAACTTTCTTCATATTCACATGTTAATACTTTGTTAATAACTTATTAACATCATATGAATAAGAAAGTACAAAACCTCCACTATTTCCTTTAGTATAATAACTAAGACATTACCTCTTTCACCAAGCTCATTTAATTTAAAATAGAAAAATGATTTTTCTTTGTATCCACTGCACGTTTTTTAAATTATTGTATGCATTGAGCATATATATATTTATACAAAACCATATATCTATTACATATTCTACACAAACTTTTGACATATACAATTTACAACATATATACACCATGTGAAAGTAACTTAGATAAATCATCATGCAATTATATAAAATCAAATCAAGACTTCACTAGTACACACATTTTTTTATCACTTCATAGCACAAAGCATTAAGAAGTTCCAAATACACATTTTCATACAAGTCACCACTAAGATGATACTTTACATATAGGACAAAGCAATCATGACACTTCCAGTCCAAATATACTATTGATGTCTCTTTTTATCAACAATATATTACTAATGGAATAACCATTTACAATGTACTAGTCTAGAACCTTTCAAGTTCAATCAATTTGGACACACACATCGTTAAACAATGTCAAGTCCATTCCATGATTAACTCTTCTTTCCAAATGCATCAGCCTAGAATTCAAAAACTCATTATTTTTAACTTACTCTACAAAAAATATCATAAAGTTTTACTTAGTAGAGTATTTTTATTGCTCTCAGTAGAAAGTCAGTAGCCTTAGAGGATACAACTTCTAAGAAAAATTTTATTTTAGACTTTGTTTAAACCAGATTGTCAATGTCTTTCTCTTTGGTTCACTCATAGAAGCATTTGCACTTTAGAAACTGAGAATTTCACTAGATGGTACTTTAGCTACTTGGTTTAGAAACTTTAAAAACAAATTTTTAAATGTATCTACATCCATTGATTATATTAATACATTATAATCAACGATAAGTAGCATAAATACTTTAATGTTCATATAACCACACAGTTAAGTGTTTTGAACACAACAATGTGTAGTGTCACATTGAACTTTTTATGTTCAACAATATTATTTTACTCCCTTCCATATTCCACATGGAGACACTTTAGTCCTTAGGGAGTTTAATTGTACACATGATATGTATTTAATAAGAGTTATTCCACAAACCTTTTGGCTACTTAAACTCATAAGCATAGCATTGCCATGACATATAGAGTTTTATATTTCTAGCCAAACTATTTGTTATTTATTAAATACTAGTCCATTTTACCTACTACAATAACTTTAGACTAGGAATTTACATGCAAAATGTATTAAATATTTTCTCCACTATTTTCACTAGATAAACCTGCACACAAACATGAGCAATTATCTATAAAAGTGACAAAATATTTCTTTGTATCCCTTAGTTTAAAATTATTAAGTTCACATACAACAAGGTGTTATACCAGCAATAACTTCCAGCTTTTATTTGGAAGTAAACTTGCAACCATGGTTTATGCATATGTTTCACATTTTTATTATTAAGACATATGATACTTACTAATACCTTATGCAGATATACAATACCTTAGCATCCAAAAATAATTAAAAAGTGAAAGCATAACACCATATCAAATGCATTGATATTGAAAATAAGAATGCAAAAGTAAGTATTATCAATTCAAAAAATTTCACTGCAAAAATAATTCTTGGTTATCAAACAAAAGTCACAACCTTAATATGTCATTTGGATGACTAGACATGACTTTCATTCATGTCTTTTCACTTTAACCAATTGACTTATTCTTTTGAATATGTCTTTTCACTTGGAACCAGTAGACAAGTGCTTCCCTTTGTGTCTTATCACTTAGAATCAATAGATACAACTTTAGTTTGTATCTTTTTACTTGAATTCATAAGACAAAAACACTTAACATGTCTCTATTCATCCAAAGATCAAGAATCACAACTTTTCATAAAAGTTGTCAATTTCATTTCACCATAACCATACTTTTGCATTGCTATGAGAAACTTATACATACATAAAATATATAGTTTCATACACATAGTATCAAATTTTCAGAACAAAAAATGTTCCAAAAATTATTGGAATATATTTATGTTCTTCTGTCGTCAACTTTCCTGTCAAGTTTATCAGATCGACAACAAAGTCGACAAAACATACTGGCAAACTATTCTAATGAATGTCGACTTTTCTATCAACTTTACCATAATCGGCGACAAACAAAATAGCGAGCAATGTTGACAGATCCAAACATAAGATGTAACACATTCCAATAAGTGTCCATTTCTCTCTCGACTCAAATTAACCGACGACAAGGTCGACAGACATTAACATAATATGTTTTTACATGCAATAAAATTACGAATACTATAATTATAGTTTTTTTAACACAATTGGCAAATTTAACTTTTCACATAAAGGCCAAGGCTAACATAATTATAACAACATATCTTTCACATTTCTTAAAACTAAGAAATTCATGAAAACACATTTATTGCATTTTATTTTTCAACAAAATTCGCTTTAAGATCAATAATATAAAATTATTATAAGATCTTAAATACCAATTAATCCACATAATTTTCATATCACTACATTTGGTTAATACAAAATTAAAAACACAAATCTACAAACTTTGAAATTATCACATGGATTAATTTACTATGAATTTGTAATTCCAGAGAAAACATTTAACACAAAGTTAATGTATATAAATCAGAAACTTATCTGCTGTATACTCGCTTGAGTATACTCTAGATCTTTCTAGATCTGTCTTCAAAACTTGACTACGAAACTAAACCGTAGAGAAACCAT